GTGGTGTTCGTTATTTTCTTGAGTCACGACGTCTCTTCAGACAACTTCAGCCGACCGCGATATATATCACCGAGAAGAAGCCAACCGAAGAAGAATATTGGAACCGCTCTGTCGAAAGAGTGGAGCTGCTCTGAGATCTCACGACTTACCATCGAGAAAAAGGAACTACGACTTACGACCGCTTCAAGCAAGTTATCCTGAACTACCAGAGTAACCAGCATCCCCGGCCTACAGACAGCAGAGAACTACCACGATCTGGCCGTCAGCAGCTACCTATATTATAGCCATACGAAACTTCGGGGTCGTCATTGAGGAAAACTACGGGAGCACTGTGGAGAACTGGGTTCACGCCGGACTTCACCGCCAGGCTCGTCTTGGACTGGGTCGCTTCTACAGATCTCGGTGATGTACATCTGTGTAAATTTGGGAGACTAGCAGGGCCGTCAGCCACCCTTGTTTAGCGTCTTTGATTTAGTTGTAATTTACGGTCCTGGGTTTGAAGTAGTATTGCCAAATTTCTGTTGTCCCATGAACATCTGTTAAAGAATAGGATTTCTATGTCGATCTGTATTAGGGCGAAATTGGTGTCTTAAGTATACAAGTGTTGAACAGCTTATTTGTATCTTTTCCCTTGTCAATTCGTCACTTAACTGCCAGCGTGAGAACCTTTTCACGCGCCGACCCTCGGGCTAGAAACCTGACAGTATTTTAAAATGTTTAATTAAAAACTCTATCGAGATTTCCATACGATTGATAGTTCAATACAGGGGTCGAAATAATTAGTATCTTGCAATAACTATAAATCCTGTCGACGCCACCCCCTTATATCGATGATTACAGTTTAGGTTGAAAGTTGAAATTACTACATCAAGACCAAGAAGAAAGGTTGGAAATAAATAAGGAGCAGGACACGACAACTTAAAATTCTCTAATCCAGACTAGAGTTACGTAATCAAAAAAACTCCAGTGAAAAGTCATCTTTCCCCACCTAGGATCACCCCTCGAGTTTTAAGCCGCACCTGGTAGAGGTCGTTGGAGATGTATTGTGGCTGGGGAAGTCGTAAACCAGTCTGCACGCGAGGGGTAACCTGGTCGGTGGGGAGGTCGGGGTAAGGGGTCGCCCCGAGGGTCACAGCCTCCCACATCAGCACCCCCAGGCTCCATATGTCCCCGTGCACTGAGGACAAGCGTGCCGCGCCAGTTGCCTGCTCCCCAGCAGCGACTCCTGTACATGAGAGCAACGTATGTAACCAATCAACGGTAACCATCCTGCAGTGCGTTATAGACCTGTGACCAATACAGGGTACGAGCGCTCAGTTAGTGGCCAGTCAAACTATGAGCATCACTGCGGTGTGTTCCTGACCTGCGACCAGTAAATGGTCAAACTTTGACCAATGCAATTTAATGTGCATCAATAAAATTGCAGGAGGGTTAATCCTTGATTGCAGTAATATAAATAAAGCGTCTACAGTTCAGATAATAATAAATACGACCCACAATAAGAGGTTGGGAGCCCCACCGTTGGAGGCAGGCCAGTGGGTGAGCAGCTCTCGTGCCACCCAGCGCCGGTAGTCAGGCTCGTAGACGTCGTTGGTGTAGGAGAGCAGTCCAAAGCCCGTGAGCTTGGCGACTGTACCGTCGACGAGGACGACGTTCCTTGCGCACACGGCGCCATGCGCTACACCACAGCTGTGCAGCCACTGCAGCCCACGCGCCACACCGCACAAGATGCTCAACACCTCCAGACACATTGAGAGGTCAGGGCATGAGCTCGGGATTAAACTTCACTTACAGATATATTAACCGTTCTCAATGATATTTGTATCCAAAAGCCTGCAAATAGAGTAAACATCAGTACAAAATGGGTTAAATTATAGAGGTGTTTTATTTCAGACTATCAGGTCTTTAGAATGTAGAGCATAGACTCATTCGACTAAAATTCACCAGCATTGTTGTGGAGTTATACTCATAATCTAAGAGCAACAAGTAAACGTATTAAAAGCATGAGTAGGGTAAAGCTCTCCTCATCAATATTATACACAATATAATTAAAAATAATTTATTTCATACTTTCACCTGGTATCAACTGACGCACAAGGTATAGGCTTAAAAATAATGAAAGGTAATTACGTATGAATCAAATAATGAATAACATTCAAAATTCAGGTGTGATCAGTAAAATAAAGATATACTCATGCTTCAACTAACCTAGAATAATATATTTATGATATATATTATATAGATGATATAAATATAGTTAATATAAACAAACAACTCGATACAGTAATAGCATAGACTACCTCTAGCAGACATGAAGTCCCAAGCAATACCTGTTGTTCAGCAATAGTAGAAAACCGTCTATGTTTCTCAGCATAAACAGGATAGTGGGTGAGAGCCCGAGCGTCTGTTAGGTGTTGCTTGATACACATCTTCTTTGTCCGATCATCAGATACACATCTTCTTGTCCCACCATCTGATACACCTCTTCTTGTACTATCATCTGATACACATTACCCTCGTCCTATCATCTGATTTACATTACCCGCGTCCTATCATCTGATATTGGCAACGTCTGTACCCCCTGATAACGGCACCGCCCGTCCAAGGGGCACCACCCCCTTGGTGGGGATGGTACCGGTAATTGGTTCTACCTAAGGGTGTGGCTGCCTTGATGACTCGCTTATCTCTTTCTTATCGGCACCTCTTGCTATGCCTGAGATAACACAAAGCTCATATCAACTGCCAAGGATCGAGGGCTTGTCAGGCCAGCGTACGCTATTGGTGGCCTTTACGCGCCTAATACGCGTACGTGTCGGGCACTTCGTAGGCCAAAGTGTGCACTTCGTTGGCCAATTCCAGGCGCGCTAATTCAGAGCTAAAAATTTACGTGGTCATTACCAACGGCCGCTTGCCAGTCTGTAGTCGCGTGTACGCCGCAGTAGTGCAGCGACAGTGCCGGGAAGACAGCTAGGCGCCGTCATAGCCTTTAAGTGGCAGGGTGGCCCAGTGGTTAAAGTTCAGAGTACCAAGATTGGCGCAGAAAGGCGTGGGTTCGATCCCAGCTCTGTGCGCCAGTTTCTGGTTAGAATCGGCGAGGAGGCCGGGCGGTTAAGCACAGCAGAATTGTAGCAGTGAGTTGCGAATTCGAGACCGCAAAAAGCTGTGAATGTTCTGCGGTGTTAAGAATCGGCGACAGGCCTACAGCCTAATAAACGCTGAAACCGCTATTATATATATATATATTTATATATTATATAGCCTACGGCCTCCTACAAGTCTACATTCGCGTGGACGCCACGGCAGTGCTGGGAAGACCGCTTTGGCGCCGTCATAGCCTACGGCCGCCTACAAGTCTACACTCGCGTGGACGCCGCGGGAGTGCCGGGAATGGCGCCGTCATAGCCTACGGCCGCCTACAAGTCTACACTCGCGTGGACGCCGCGGTAGTGCCGAGAAGACCGCTTTGGCGCCGTTATAGGGACCGCGCGTAGGTGTTAAGACGACGTCTCAGCCGGGGTGCGGCTAGCGTCACCGGCGCGGTGCCTATACGGCGCTCTCAGTGACGGTTGAATGCATACCGGCTCCAAATCAGCCTCATTTTGGCTGTGGCTTGAGTACGGCCATGCATTTTGTATTTATCATATCTACTTTGCATTTATCACGTGTTCTTTGCGTTTCTTCCATGAATTCTGCATTTATCGCATGTTCTCTGCTTTTATCATAGGTATGTACTCTGCTCAGACCACATAAATCTCGCATTTTTGACTTGAATCATATCCTACATATTTATCATGCACAGCGTTGCATTGATCACATTATTGCTGAATTTATCACACAAGTACTGTTATGGTCACCCACGTAAGCACATTTATTACGTGAGCTGTGCAGTTGCCGCGTGCAGTGCTTACCACTCTGCATGGCGTGCAGTGCTTGCCACTCTGCATGGCGTGCAGTGCTTGCCACTCTGCATGGCGTGCAGTGCTGGCCACTCTGCATGGCGTGCAGTGCTTGCCACTCTGCATGGCGTGCAGTGCTTGCCACTCTGCATGGCGTGCAGTGCTTGCCACTCTGCATGGCGTGCAGTGCTTGCCACCTGTCTCTTATACACATCTAGATGTGTATAAGAGACAGCCACTCTGCATGGCGTGCAGTGCTTGCCACTCTGCATGGCGTGCAGTGCTTGCCACTCTGCATGGCGTGCAGTGGTCAGCACTGTTCAACAGCCCCTGCAGTGAACAATCTGTGCGTGCATGCGAGGTATCCTCAGCGTCAGACATCGCAGCCTAACTTTTGAAATTAATTCTAAAAATTATATTAATTTAGTATTCATAGTAAAATTATACTGATATAATTTTTATATTCAGAGGCAATGAACTTATTTAACGTAAGTTACTTTTTGAACTCGATTCTGTCAAACAAATCTACCAAGTTGAGTTGCGAAACTCTGACGAACTGCCTGCCTTTTCTAGAGCAACGATGCACTATCCTGACACCTAGAGTGCCGGTGCTCTAGTAACGGTACTCTCATGACGGTACTTGAGATGCACACACTCTAGCTGGTATGGGTACTCTAAAGACAGTACTCTTAACGCAGCCCTCTAGAGTTCCCTCGATTGTTCTTCCCTCAGGTCGTTCTTCGCGTCCGTCGCCAGCCGATGTATGGGCAGCCTCCTGAACACAGAGGGACAACACACCACCGGCAGCCTTCTCAGGTGGGTGGTGCCTCTAGGCCTACTGCCTCTAGGACTACTGCCTCTAGGCCTACTGCCTCTAGGCCTACTGCCTCTAGGCCTACTGCCTCTAGGCCTACTGCCTCTAGGCCTACTGCCTCTAGGCCTACTGCCTCTAGGCCTACTGCCTCTAGGCCTACTGCCTCTAGGTCTACTGCCTCTAGGCCTACTGCCACTAGGCCTACTGCCACTAGGCCTACTGCCACTAGGCCTACTGCCACTAGGCCCACTGCCACTATGCCTACTGCCACTAGGCCTACTGCCACTAGGCCTACTGCCACTAGGCCTACTGCCTCAAGGCCTACTGCCACTAGGCCTACTGCCACTAGGCCTACTGCAACTAGGCCTATTGCCTCTAGGCCTACTGCCTCTAGGTCTACTGCCTCTAGGTCTACTGCCTCTAGGCCTACTGCGTGCTCAAGCCTGGCCTTGATCCTTGCATCGTTCATAAACCTACCACCTTGACTAGACCTACCACTTTGCCTTGACCCACTATGCTTGGACCTACCATCTGCCTAAATTTACCCTTTACCTAGAGAAACCACCTTGCCTAGTGCAGGAATCACAGTCCCCTGTGCTGTCCATTTGCCACTGTCTATCCACTGATTTGCCATGCAAAAGAATTAAAGTGCTTGCAAGTTTCAACTTCACTACAAATTGTAGCATTAAATAAACGCATGGCCTGGAAAAATATGTAAACCTCGTTTTGTTTCTATTGCATCAGACTCGATATCCTGATTTGGTGGTCGAACTTGATTTGGAGTCAGCGGTCTTGGCATTAGGAAGAGCCCTGGGGCGGTTGACATCAGTTTTTGTTGACGGCAACTCAGCTTCTTGGGTTGAATCGCTCGCCTGCACATGGAGGCTGATGAATCGTGTCTTGGACCATTGTAATGATAATGTTATTTAAGGCAGTATTAAAGCTGTTTTATGGCCGTTTTGAGGCTACTCTGAGGGAGTTTCAAACCCGTTTAAGGACGTTCAGTGGCCTCTTAAAAGCTACTCTAAGCCATCTTAAAGTCTTTGGCCGAAAACCAGAATCAACAGTAGAGTAGATTGACAAGCAAATCCAGTGATATGTACTGAAGGTTATACATATAAAGCATTTGCTTAGAGTAACTGCCTACGGGGATAAAATGTAGTTGAGACATTGTGCTTCACTGAAACCGCTAATGCAGCATCAACGAAACGGAATCATCAATATCTTATAATGGGACCACTTGTTTAATGATGAACTAAATATTAACTCTTCGCCGAGGCTGTCTTGTGAGTGGCGACTTGTGGCGGCGCTAGGACGGATAACGCGTGTCATGAGTGACGCATGGCAGCGACGAGTGGCAGCGACGCGTGGCAGCAACGCGTGGCCACCATAGCTGCCCTCGTGCACAGAGCTGCCCTCGTGCACAGAGCTGCCCTCGTGCACAGAGCTTCCCTCGTGCACAGAGCTGCCCTCAGAGCTGCCCTCGTGCACAGAGCTGCCCTCGTGTACAGAGCTGCCCTCGTGCACAGAGCTGCCCTCGTGTACAGAGCTGCTCTCGTGCACAGAGCTGCTCTCATACACAGAGCTGCCCTCGTGCACAGAGCTGCCTTCGTGCACAGAGCTGCTCTCGTGCACAGAGCTGCTCTCGTGTACAGAGCTGCTCTCGTGTACAGAGCTGCTCTCGTGTACAGAGCTGCTCTCGTGTACAGAGCTGCTCTCGTGCACAGAGCTGCCCTTGTGCACAGAGCTGCCCTCACAGATGCCCTCAGAGTTGCCCTCGTCTGCCACGACGCTGATTATTTCAGTCCGTTTTTTCAGCGCCGTCGCAAGCGGCGCGTGACGCGACGTCAAACCTGGCGTTGACGGAGCCACGGCAGACGTGAGCGCAGGCGGCGTATGGGTGGCCGCCGCTGAGACGTTCATAAGCGGCGTATGGGTGGCCACCGCTGAGCCGTTCATAAGCGGCGTATGGCTTGCCACCGCTTAGCCGTTCATAAGCGGCGTATGGGTGGCCACCGCTGAGCCGTTCATACGCGGCGTATGGGTGGCCACCGCTGAGCCGTTCATAAGCGGCATATGGGTGGCCACCGCTGAGCCGTTCATAAGCGACGTATGGGTGGCCACCTCTGAGCCGTTCATAAGCGGCGTATGGGTGGCCACCGCTGAGCCGTTCATAAGCGACGTATGGGTGGCCACCTCTGAGCCGTTCATAAGCGGCGTATTGGTGGCCGCTGCTGAGCCGCCTTTAAGCCCTGCAAAACATGAGCCGTTTAGATGAACAGGCTTGCGGTACTTTGTCGTGTTTTTAAATCCAAATTTTGGTGATATTCACCTAAAACTCTATGCTCTGCTGTCCGCAGCATTTGATTTGTTGTAACTCTAGCCTTTTTTTGTGGCCGCTTACAAATCCACGTCAGGCTTGGCTGTTATAACAGCGAGTTGTCTTCTTGTTGAACGTGTGAAAGTTCTCTAATTATATTGACAGTGAGCGGCCAACGGTAGAAGGTTAGAGAAATACAGTGAAGATTTACGACACCACTTATGTGATGGTCAGGCACCGGCACAATATTAGTCACCCTCTATTGCTAACGCCTGTATTGGGATGACGAACACTGCTCAAATCTAACAACGACGCACATCAGCGAGATCTAAGAAGTAAGAATTATGTCCCCGAGTGGTCGACACCGATGTATCCTCAAGATATTTTGCTGTGGGACTA